GTTTATTAAAATATTAAATCCATAAAATTAATTTGATATAAATAAAAAATATTCAGATTAGTTTCCTTGAAAAATTGTATACTGTATTTTGTTTATTCTTAAATAATAAAATTATTTTTTTTTTAATTTAAAATTTCGCTAGAAAACTTTTGAATTAATTATTCCTTCCATTAAATTTATTCTTGTAAAAATATAAAAAATTTAAATTTATCATTTGTCATTTCAAACTTCTACGGGATTCTTTATACGCTTTTGTAGAAAGATCGTTCTATTTATCCACAGGGTTCCGTAAGAAAGTAACAATAATAAGAGTAAAAGAGAGAATACGGATGCGACAAGAGATAGAAATCTCAATAATAGTATAAAATTCTTTCTATAAGATTGTTCTTCCTCGAGATTTCTTCTGTATTATTCCAGAAAAATTCATTCTATGTCCTTCTGTAGGATTCTTTTTGTACTTTTTCTCGAGATTACTTCTGAATTCTTTTGTAAGATCTCTTCCATGTTTTTCTTGAAGGTTTCTTCTATATTCTTCTATACCATCCTTTTATGTTCTTCAATATTGCTTCTAAATTTATCTATAAGATACTTTCTATGTTCTTTCTTAAGATTGCTTCGATATTCTACAATATTCGCTTCGTATTCTTCTATGGGATCCTTTTCACATTCTTCCTCAGTGTTCCTTGCAGTCTACAGGAAGAACTCTATACCCGTAGATGAGTACAGAAGTGTCTTACACAGGCTTCTTCCTATACTATTTTACGGATATTTTACAATTAATTTAATTCTTCGCCTAAGTTTCAGTGTATTAATCTAAAACTTAGTAAATAAACAAATGCACAGATCTTTCATTACGTAAACTTTTCTTAAAGTTCATTTAAAATTAATTTATATTTGAGAAATATAAAAATAGACAATTTAATAATTACTTTTATCCGAATAAATCTATTTTTATAAAATAAATTAGAAGGCGATTAATTTAATTAAATGAATTTTATTAAAGTAAAGGTTAAATATTCTAAGGTTTAATAAAAAAGTGAATAAATGTCATGCAACTCAATTTACTAAATGCTACATTGAAATTAATTGTAAAATTTAAAAATAAAACGATAAATTCTTTGTTTTTGTTTTATTTATTCACAAATATTTTATAATTTACGAATTACATCATTAAGATTTCTTTATTATTTAATTAATTTTGCTTAAAATTCATTAAACAAATTTAAAGTATTTACGTAAAATTTATTCAGGTTTTATTGGTTAAAATTTGCGATTTTTTCATAAAAATATTTTCTAATTATCTTAATCTAAAATGTTTTGCTTCCTTGTTTCATGCACGATACTTCATCCGCCATTTTGATACGCCATTTTGATTTTAACCAAACTGTCTATGATAGAACAATTATTGCATATAATCGTATACAGTGTATTAAAATATTAGACAAATAAAACTAAATGGGGGTCTAAAGTTTCTTTACAGCCCGTAATGTNTTTATTAAGTCCAAGAATCATCTGTATTATTTTAATAATTTCTTAAAACAGCGCGACGTCTCGTCGCGTCGCTTCGTATATCATTATTAATCAATATAGTCGCGATTTTATATTATAATAGAGACTAATAAAAAAAATAACCTCCAGAAAACTTCCTTACTTAAAGAAATAAATAGCTATCGAATGCTTTTTTTATAATTCTTAGCTCGATTCAGACACGTTTGTTCTATACCTTGACGTTCTAACATTACGTAAGTTAGATTTCGGTATAGAACAATACATTTTTCAATTTTTGACTCTCCGTCTTGTGTGCAGTAAGATGGACCTTTGCCATGCTCATTACGAGTTCTACCATGTCCGCAAATGGGGTAGTTGAATGGTGATGGACGGTGCCCAACACATACCTCGAAAGCATTATTGTTAATTCCTGTATAATAAAAATACTTGAAGAGAAATCTCGACATTATTCAGCTGCCATTGTACCCATTTTGACAAATATCTTTGGCATCCTTCTCGTTCCGAGATGCACGCGGTAATTCTGAAGAATAAAAGCGTGAGTGAGGTTACGTACAAGAATCTTTTTAATTTTAAAAATTGTTAGCCGCCCTTTTTTATTTCAGAGCCCGCCTGCTTGGCATGCATGTTACGCCAAAGTAGTTAAGGCTTGTTTACGTTATATGTATTTGTCCAGCGAAGTACAGTACATTTCAGTATAGTTCATTAATGGATAGTGGAATATTTAGCTGCTCAAGTTACTGTTATAATGTATCTAGTAACGTAAATATTTCTTTAGTTTTTGATTATAGAGATATTCAGTTTCTATAACGAGTGTTACAGACGCCTTACCGCTAACCGCCATGTTTTTCAAAAGGTCTTTTTTTACAACAAAGTTTTCGATTCGTTGCTGGATTGATTGAGTATATCCCATACCCACGTCTCAATGGTTGCTGTATTTGTGACGTTCTCTAAATATTCTTAGTATATTGGCTGTTGGATTTCAATACTTTTCCGGCACAGCGAAACTAGAATCTGTGGCTATACGACTGGCACATGAATTTTCTGTTCGACAACACTTGTTATTAGAGAGGTTGGGGCTGAAGTTTTTGTGAACGTCGAACGTCGAGCGCCACTTACGAGATAGCGGCGCTCGACGTTCGAAGTTTACGTTTGAGAGATGAAAACTTCGGCCGCAACCTCGCTATTATGGCAATGCTGTGGTGGAACGTGTCGAACTATATAAATACGTATGGTATGAATCGATCTTTAAGTTACATTGTCTCTATCCTTAAGAGCCATCTGTTAATTTGTTACGTGTATAGTTTAAGAGGGGAGGGGACCGAAAAAAAAACACTATTGTACACGATCGGAAGGAGAGGTTCGAAGCATTGTTTATGCGGACTTTTTAGTGCTATTAGTGACTTACAAATTTGTTCTTATAAGCCTACTTACTAATCATGTGAATAAACTATCATAAAATATTTTCAGAACTTTTTAGTCATTTCTTCGGTGTCTATGGATTCGTGAACTCTCGTACAGTACACCTAATTAAAGGGGAAAGTAATTAACAACGGTACATCATTGTATACAAAAGAGAGGGAGGGTGTCAATTACTCAAATAAAAGTTTGGTATTTTATTTATCTATAATATCCTCGGGATATGATCTTAACCACTCGGCCACTCTGGACTACTTCGTAAGTAATAAAAATACATTTTCTCTACATTTAATGTATTTTCTCGACAAAACTTTGTGTTTTTTACTGTCAAATCGTAAATATTTGATAATTTTAAAGAGTATAATTGGATTACGTATATAAAAACTTCTATTCGACAATGCATAGACTCCAAATAGAAAGAGAAAACACGTTTCAATGACGACAATACCAAATCGTGAATATAAACTGTATGATTATAATCCTATTTCTCCTTCCTCTCGCCCTCTTGCTCTCTGGACTCCATTTTAAAACTTGATTAAGTAACTTGTCACCACGTCGTCATTCTCCCTCGTTATAACGCCGATCAATTTTCGTTAATTTTCTTTATTTCGTCACCGATCCTGGTAATACAGTACTTTATTATTGTATAAGATATCATTGGATATTTTGTGGAACCACTCGAAGCCTTTTAAATTTCGGTTTTCAGCATGAAAACTGGAATTTAAAAGGAGTCAAGTGGTACAACAGATATAAAACAGATGTTTCAACACTTGAGAGCATGCTGTCTTATCTTACACACGTCTTAATTTGAAAAGTCTAAAAGACACGTGAACAAACAGACGGTCTCTCCGAAGAAAGTAAAAAAGTTCTAAAATTAAAATACATTTTTTATTCATTTAAATTAAAAAAAAAAATAAAATAAAACCTGACATTTTAATCAATAAAATATGAATATTTGTTAAAAAGAAAATAATTAAAGAGTTGGAGGAAGAAGAGAAAGAAATTTGCAAAACGGAAATTGAAAATGTTGCTACGAAATTAACTTTTCATCAATAAGTTAATGAGTTCTCCCTTTTATTTCTTTCTTTCGCCATTTTATTTACATTAGAAAATAATAATAATAATATAAAAAAATACAAAAAAGAAATCCTAAAAATAATTCCTGTACGGTGTTTTATAAATTACATAGAAAACTTCTTCAAAAAATCGAACTTAAATGGTGTTAAATTGTTCTAAAAACCTGTAAATAACGGCCACTGACGGGCACAGTACATATAAACTGGCCGCTATTCGGAAGTGGACGTTGTTCGGAGGTTATTTCGTATGCATTTCTGTTGGGAAAAAGTTTCTTAAAAATGGCCGCTGTTTAGAGGTTGCCGTTATTACAGGTTCGAGTGTAATTTTTAAATAAATTAGAAATTCTTTAAAGTTTAAAAAATGTAAAATATTCTAAAAATATTTAAATTAAATTTAACTTATAGTTTTTTTTTTTTAAAGAAAATGTATTTTATTCAATTTAAAAAAATTATTATTTACTTATAAATTAATTGTGTTCTTAATTAAATTTCATACAAAATATGTAATTAAATAAAAAAAAAGGTTATATTACGTAGAAGAGATAATAGAGGAAAAGCCAAAGATGTTTAAGATGATTGTTAACACCCACACTCTTCATTAAGATACGAATATCTTTAAATATGTCTTTTTAAAAGCTGAAACTCAACCTTGACCCACACGTTTCTGTGTGGGACGTCCGATTATCTTTAAAATATAAATAACAAATAAACTGTATATTTTTAATATATTATTTTATATCAATAAGAAGATTTTAAAATAAAATTCTCTCCTTTTAAATAAGATTCTCGAATTAAATGAAATTATTTACATTTTAAACTAAGTACAGTCGACCCCCCTATAACACTGTTGATTATTCCGTTTTTTATGAGTTCCATGTTCTACGAGTCAATTAGATTTTACAAATACGTGTGCCGGGCTGTGAAAATAATAATGAATACAATTTTAAAACATTTTATTGTATTTACGATATAATTTACACGAATAATAATACAGCTAATCTATATCTGTCTACTGGATAAGACTAAAGTTTCTATTGGTACAACTCTCGAGGGGTGGACGTTTCCGTTAAGTGACGTATCTAACGGCCCTCTTCTACAAATAATCTGTTTCTTGTGTCCGCAGGGTTTACGAAAAGTCTGTAGGAACTCTCTACGAAAATTCTTATTGACGAAACAATAAGTAAGTGGATTGCAACAGGAAGAAGTATAGGAGAGTAAGTGGAAGAAAGAGATGCCGCAGTGTCCCAAACTGTCGTAAACACTACCGGATACGTAAACAGACACTGTATTAATGACGTAGACGGGGGTCCAACATATGAAGTATTCTAAAACGACAACGAATAGCATTCTTATGACTCTGTTCTTGACAGCTAGACGATGTTGTATGTTATTTGTACGTATGTCACCGTTATCTTTGCTGTACCAATTTCGATAAGTATCGGAAGAGCCTACTTCACCTGTCGAAATTCTGTTCCTGTTCCACTTCACTATCATTTTTGGGGGTTCTCCGGATATGCAATCTTGTATGGGTGGGTTGACGCAGTTGTAGAAACCCGTAGCGCTCGTCCGTGCGATTTCTATAGCTAAACAATGGTTAATTAATTTTTAGGAAGTTTTTTGGAAATTTTGGTGATTTTTTTACCTACTTTTTGCACATTTTTCGCTATCTACGATGCCTTGTTTTAGTACTAACGCGATCTTTCCGTACACTGTTGCCATTAGTCCGAGTGGTAGAATTAATAGAAAGACATCTAAACAGATGTTAAATCCACCCTCTAAAATTTCGTTTGGCCAGTTTTCTCGGCACTTGTATTTACCTAAAAATTACAAAAAAAAATCATTAATAATCGCTCTTTATTCTAATTTTTTCTTCATTTTATAAATATACAAACCTGATAATTCCACGGGTAGTAAACGGCTTAAAAACGCAACAGGAGACATCAAAATCATAGAAAAAATCCAGATTAAAAGCAAAATTCTGTAAGCGTGACACGTTGTTTGCCAACGACGTGATTTTAAAGGTTCGCAAACAGCGTAATAACGTTCTAGAGATATGGCAACCAAAGTCCAAGCATTAACGGCCACCGAAACGCCTAAAAAATAGCATAAAAATGGCATAAATTATCCAAAAATATTAAGTTTTAATATTATTTAATTAATTTTTTTTCGAAAATATTATTTAAATTGGATAATTATTTAAAAAAGTTAAGAATTATGGAGGATTTCCGCGTATAATGCGCACGCGAAAAGCAATTAAATTTCGTTTTAAACGAGCATTTAATCGAATCGAATTTTGTCTAAAATTAATCTTATTTTGTTCTAAATTAAAAATACAAAATTTTATTAACTTAGACAAAGTATTTTTTTTTATAAGAAAGCTCTTTAGAAAGAACCTTTTAAAAGGTACTTCCGAATGAGATTATGTCTTCCACTCCATTATCTTAGTACATAACAAATAAAGTTCTATAACTTTAAATGTTGTTGCTATTTTTCCTTTATAAATGATAAAAAATAAAATAAAATTTAAATATAAAACAATTAAATTTGTAAAGATTCTTTTAAATATGTAAAAAATAAAGCGTAATTAATAACCACATAAATAGCTTTAAGTAATAAATTAATTTTATTAAGTTTAACTACATTTATTATTTAATTTATTGTATTATAAATTGTATTATAAGTGTTTAAATTAATTGTAATAATTAGCTTATATTATAATTATATTAAATATACATATTTTTAATTTTATTTTTATNTAAAATGCACCAAAAATTAATTTTTAAGTTAAAATTTAATAAAATTATAAACAATTAAAAATTGTAAAGTTCTTACCTTGAAAATAAGGTATAATTCTGCACATAGTTTCGCCGAATATAAACTCTCTTCTCAATGTCCCTATAAGAGTAAAAGGCATACAAAAAACCCCTAACAAAAGGTCACTAGCAGCCAAATTAAGCAAAAAAATATTAGTGACGATCCTTAACCTTCTATTCCTTACAAGTGTCGCTATAACGAGGGAATTGCCTATTAACCCGCATATAAAAATCAAGGTGTAAAGTGGAATCCTTATAACACCATTGGGATCGAAACGTTTGTAGAATTCGTTAGGAGATTCCGTGCTCGGGATTATCCAAAGATCCTCGTTTAACAATGTCAAATTCTTCATTTTTCCATTGTTTCGGAGATTGAATTATCTTAAAAGTGCCGTTAATTATAATAAAATAGTAGAGGAGACGTTGGAAATTCGGTCCTTCACTCGACACGTATCTTTGTATGCGCTTATGTTAACAGGTAGATAAATTTTGCACGTGTTGATCTTTACGGATTCTCTAGTTAAAGGTTGTTGTCATCGATCGAAATGTCATCTTCTTTCCGAGTACATGCGCAACTCGGATTACTTTTGCTTATCTACACTTTCTATACTTTTCAATAGCACTTTTCAAGGGGATGCTTTCTATACTTTGAATAGAATTCTTTCTGTATCGTTCTACAGCATACTTTCAATGGCTTTCAACAGGATTGATTCTCACTGTAAATTTCAACCAAATTCTTCTATACTCTCCAATGGAATTATATTCTCTATGGGAATTCTTTTTATACTCTTCTACAGGATTCTTTTTATACTCTTCTACAGGATTCTTTTTATACTCTTCTACAGGATTCTTTTTATACTCTTCTACAGGATTCGATATTCTTCTATAGAATTCTTTTTATACTTTTCTACAGGATTCTTTCCACTGTGTTTTTAAGATTGATTCTGTACAGGATACTTTGCTTTCTTATGAGACTTTTTCAATAGTTTTCTATGACATTACTTCCACGATTTTAAGGTACATTTCTATATTTTTCGACAGGGTTTTTGATTATATTTTTCAGAGACATTTTCTATAAAAGAGCTTCTATGTTTTCCAAGATTGTTTTCTATATTCTTTTACGAGATTTTCCCTACATTACTTCACTTCTTCAGGATTTTTCTATATTACTCTACCTCTTCTACAGGGTTTTTCCTGTATTACTCTATGAAATCTTTGTATACTTTGAACAGGATTCTTTCAACAGGATTCTTACTATAATTTTCAGTAGGATTTTTAAGATTTTCACAATTCTTTCTTCTATTTTCAATAGAACTTTCGAAAATCAAATTGAAATTCTTAATCCATACGTCGAATTCTCAGCCTAATGCATAAAATTTTAATTGATTTAACTTTAAAAAATTTGCTTAAATAAATTTTAATTAATTAATTATTATTGATAAATTAATTAATAAATTATTATCGAAGAAAAATATCGATTTTAATAAATTAATATTTTTCTTCAATAATAATTTATTTTCTAGAATTGAAATATTATTCATAATTTATTAAACTTATTTGACTTTTAGATTTATGTTTATTAAAATATTAAATCCATAAAATTAATTTGATATAAATAAAAAATATTCAGATTAGTTTCCTTGAAAAATTGTATACTGTATTTTGTTTATTCTTAAATAATAAAATTATTTTTTTTTTAATTTAAAATTTCGCTAGAAAACTTTTGAATTAATTATTCCTTCCATTAAATTTATTCTTGTAAAAATATAAAAAATTTAAATTTATCATTTGTCATTTCAAACTTCTACGGGATTCTTTATACGCTTTTGTAGAAAGATCGTTCTATTTATCCACAGGGTTCCGTAAGAAAGTAACAATAATAAGAGTAAAAGAGAGAATACGGATGCGACAAGAGATAGAAATCTCAATAATAGTATAAAATTCTTTCTATAAGATTGTTCTTCCTCGAGATTTCTTCTGTATTATTCCAGAAAAATTCATTCTATGTCCTTCTGTAGGATTCTTTTTGTACTTTTTCTCGAGATTACTTCTGAATTCTTTTGTAAGATCTCTTCCATGTTTTTCTTGAAGGTTTCTTCTATATTCTTCTATACCATCCTTTTATGTTCTTCAATATTGCTTCTAAATTTATCTATAAGATACTTTCTATGTTCTTTCTTAAGATTGCTTCGATATTCTACAATATTCGCTTCGTATTCTTCTATGGGATCCTTTTCACATTCTTCCTCAGTGTTCCTTGCAGTCTACAGGAAGAACTCTATACCCGTAGATGAGTACAGAAGTGTCTTACACAGGCTTCTTCCTATACTATTTTACGGATATTTTACAATTAATTTAATTCTTCGCCTAAGTTTCAGTGTATTAATCTAAAACTTAGTAAATAAACAAATGCACAGATCTTTCATTACGTAAACTTTTCTTAAAGTTCATTTAAAATTAATTTATATTTGAGAAATATAAAAATAGACAATTTAATAATTACTTTTATCCGAATAAATCTATTTTTATAAAATAAATTAGAAGGCGATTAATTTAATTAAATGAATTTTATTAAAGTAAAGGTTAAATATTCTAAGGTTTAATAAAAAAGTGAATAAATGTCATGCAACTCAATTTACTAAATGCTACATTGAAATTAATTGTAAAATTTAAAAATAAAACGATAAATTCTTTGTTTTTGTTTTATTTATTCACAAATATTTTATAATTTACGAATTACATCATTAAGATTTCTTTATTATTTAATTAATTTTGCTTAAAATTCATTAAACAAATTTAAAGTATTTACGTAAAATTTATTCAGGTTTTATTGGTTAAAATTTGCGATTTTTTCATAAAAATATTTTCTAATTATCTTAATCTAAAATGTTTTGCTTCCTTGTTTCATGCACGATACTTCATCCGCCATTTTGATACGCCATTTTGATTTTAACCAAACTGTCTATGATAGAACAATTATTGCATATAATCGTATACAGTGTATTAAAATATTAGACAAATAAAACTAAATGGGGGTCTAAAGTTTCTTTACAGCCCGTAATGTAGGAAAACCCAACGTCATTGTCACCAGCCTAATGTACACAAAAGTAAACAGATGCACCTAAGTAAAAACTGGAATCATAACAGAGAATGTTCTTTGAATTGCATATCAAATTTTAATTGCAATTAATAATAAATAGATTGTAATGAAGCAAAATACTTTAATAAATAAAGAATGAATGTCCAAAATCGAAAAGGGGAATACTGTATCTTTATTTAAGCGCAATGTTAATCCCGCCCGTTTTTAAAATCTTGCTGTTGAAATTTGTATTCGGAATACCAGTGGTCGAGTGGATAAAAACTACCAAACACTAGTACCAGTAATTAATTTGATGTTGGTTCGTGTCTGGCCAACGGACCGACTACGTGAAGTTCTCCGGGTTTTCTTTTTTTTTTCAAGTTTGAACACCTAAATTTCCCATAAAAGTCCTCCAGGGAGGCATTCCCTCCTCTGCACGAGATTCTTAAAAAGTTAGCGAAATTAATTAATATCGTGTAACAAATCAAATTTTCATTATAAGCGAAAACGACGGGCGATATTTATGGAATATCGAATTTTATTCGATTAAGCAATTTAAATAAACTAATTTTAGAAAAGAACTTTTTATGTGACGAATTATGTTTACTCAGCGTTTATTTACAGAAGATCTCTTTCGTGTTTGATAGAGATATTTCAATATTGATTTTATCAAGATTGCGGAATTTCGTTTCAATACTAAGCAATGAAACTGTTTGCTATTAAAAATTGTCTATTTAGTAATTTTTTTCCGCTTAAAATTTTTAAATTAATTTTTTATACGCGTATTTTAATATAAAATTATTAATATTTTTGTTATAAATCAGTATTAAAAATTTTTTTGTCTGTCACGTTAAATTATTTTCGTGGAAATATGCTGAATAAAAGGCTCGTACAGATTTATTGAAACCGCTGCAATTATTTGTAGATACCTTGTACTGTACATACAATATCTTACTGCACTCGTATGCTTTTCCGATAATTCCAACATTAAAATTTTCATTTTCGTCATAACGCGCCAGACCGTTAGCGAGGCGCGTACCCTCCACCAGTGTTCAGTAGTGTTATTCACTCTGTCACTGGTGGGTTCCTCGTGATAGAACTCTATTTATATTAGAAACATTACTGGTATATTAATACCGAATTAATTTTTCTTCATTACCATTTAATTAAAAATATAAATACGACTCTCCACTAGCTTTCCGAGACGACGTTACCAATTTGAAAACTTACGTATAAGAATCCATTTAATACATAACACAGATATTACTTTTACATTGTGCTATAGAACGTTGGGAATAGATAAATCGCTGCACAAATATTTAAAAAGTCTCCTTTTCAATTTTAAATCATTCTAAAACCAAATTGAAGATGTCGAGATAACTTTTCCATAGAAACTTGTTTTGGTAACGTAAAACCAGCTATTTTTCATTTGTGATTTTGCAGTTTTGTAGTTTTCATTTATCGTGTGTCTTATTCCTCTGATATACAAATACATATAAAAAAGTAAATGCCATGCATACAAATAAAATACAAAACAACGCGGACGAATGTAAAATAGGTGCAACGTAAACATACAAATACGGCATAAATACGAGAATAAATACAGATACAAATAAAGTACAAATGCACACACGTAATGCACGTAACTTAACGCGTAAACAAATACAACTTAAAACACAAATATAACACAAAAGTAGACAAATAAAAGCAAAACCTGCGCAACACAAACAAAAGTACATTAAAAAAAGCACAATACATACACAAACCTATAACAAAAAATACATAGACAAAAGTTTAATAAACACACCAACGTAAACAAGAAAAATATTTTAAGTAATAAAGTCTTGTTTGCGCCTCGTTTGATTAATTGTGATTGGTTATCGGGTTGGTCGCGTCACTTCATCCTGCCTGTCGGACTAACGCCCTCTAGCATTCGAAATTTCACAACCGATACGTTTAATGGCATATTTCTACATTAAATCTACAATCGGAGACGGATTAGTTGTATTATATCTATATTAAAAATCTTCGATTATAGTATACATATTTTATTTATATATATTTAAATTATACGAGAATGAAAAAATATATATACTTATCTGCTACTGCCATCTGGTACGTAAAAATGCAAACTCTTCCGATCTAATTCCGATAAATCCATTTTGAATATTATTTTTTAAAAAATTGTGACATTATTTTCTACAATAAAAAGGTCAGAAAATAAGAAAACATTTTAAAAAATTAAATTTTATTTTTAAAAAATTATAAAATTAAAAAAAATTATTTTACGACAAAATATAGCAATTATAAGATTTGCCATAAGGTCACCACTATGTATTTTATCCCAGGCCCTTGTTACCTTCTGGGTGGCTCTGAACGTATAGTAATAAATGATTTCAGATATTATGGCAAAGAGAAAAGTTCTTGTGAAACAATTATACAATTTAAAAAGCCTTAGTACGTTGTATAATCTCTTTTTATCTGGATATATGCAGTAATATGATCGGGCTCGGAGGCATTCAGGCACCGTATGCACTACTGGACAGATGTTTTAACTACCGCTCCAGATCTCTCAACTCGTAGATGGCCGAAACTGCAGCCCCATCTAGTCCCACAAATGCTCGATAAGTGACAAATTTGGAGACCGGATGATTCAAGGAAGTATGGCAACGCGATGAAGACATTCCTGAGAAATTGTAGCTATGTGCGGCGGCTAATCACTCTAAAATGCTGAAAAATGGTGTTTTCAGCCCTGCCACGAAAGAAAAACACGCGAGGGTGCAGAAAGATATCGCGAATGTACCGCATCAATGTCCCTCGCATCACTATTAAAAGGGCTGGTTAACTTTTAGGGTTGATCCAGACATTGTACAACTTATCTTGATTTTATTCGTATATGGCAACGTGACACATGGGCGATCTGCCGAGGAAAAATTCCTCCCGGAGGGATCTTTTATAAGAAACTAGCCCCTAGTTATGTTTACTAACGTAAAGAAAACTCCAGTGGCCAACCCCGAACCCTCCACCAACTACCAGTGTTCAGTGGTTTTATCCACTGCCTACTGATGGGTTCCACAGCGTGTCAAGATCAACTTTTGCATAGGAAACATTTCGACTTTTCAGTCGTTGTCGACGTGGGGGAGACAGAAACCGTCTTTAACAAATCCCCATAGAAAAAAATCTAGGAATGTCATTTTCGGAGATCTGGAAGGCTTCTGCAAAGGACCTCCACGCCCGAACCAAAACATTGGAACGGATTTTGATCAAGGTCGTTGTAGGAGTGAAGTGATTTCCGTCTTGCAGGAACACTATGTTCTGAATGCCTTCTTGCAATTGAGGTTGCGTGGTGTGAGACGAAAAACTGAATATTGGTACAATGTCATTCGAGTTACTTGTGATGCTCACGTAGGACTCGACTAATTTCTTTCTGGGTGTAAATAAACTTTTCGAGCAAGCTCGTGTTTGTTTCGTGTGCAAACTTGCAAACTCGCTGAGTAATAAATTTTCAAAATCGGGAAGAACATTTACAGACACCGTTTATTGGTGATATTTATTTATTAGAAGGTTGAAACAGCTGAGACATCAACCTACGGCACTGGGAATTTGAGTTTGATAGGATAAGGTAATGCAACATATGAACAATCCGCCAAGGAAGAATGGCTTTCTGGGAAGACTTTTCATAGGAAACCGATTCTTATTTAGGTGTTAGATACAAGAAGAAAAGCTGGAAAACTCCACGTGGCTATCCTGTTGGTCAGGCGCGAACCTAAGACCAACTATCAATGTTTAGTGCCCATGGAGAGGAAAGAGTAAAAACGAAAATGTCATTTCGTGTATCGATTTTATATCAAGAATTTTTAATCTTAAAAAATACGAAATGCAGCATTGTGCAGAATATAATTACAGTAGAACCTCCATTATCCGGATTGTTCAAAATAAACAAAAATTTGTAGTAATAAAAATATAACTTGACATACGCATTTATAAATAATTTATATTCAAATTACATCATTTCTATGACCAAGGGCGGCGTAAGGCATGGACGACGTGGGCCACCGCCTATGCCTCGCGGTCCGAAGGGCCTCGCGCCTCGAAGGTTTATGCATTACTTAAAAGCCGTGAACGAGACGAAAAAATTTTACTCGTCATAAAACGATAAATAGTTTGTAGAATTTTTATTCATAAAAATGCAGTTTCAACTGCTTTTTATTTTATAAAATCCGTCTTCTTGCGCCACCAGAGGGCCTTTTAAACAATAGGTAGTCTGTTAGCACTGGTCAGTAGTAGTCCAAATTCAATACAAACATTTGTTTCTTGAAAATTTGATCACGATTTAAATACAGTATTTACTTTTAATATTACCGATATGTCATCGAAAAGAAAACGTGTTGTATTATCATTAAAAGACAAATTAAAGTATTTGTTTCGATTATCCGGATTTTTCCTTATCCGGACTACCTTCATCCCCAATTAGTCCGGATAATCGAGGTTCTACTGTAATATGAACTGATAGACAAATGAGCGAGTAGTGAGCAATTTCCATATTTATTAGCAAAATTCAGACTTCACAAAGTTTTTCAAATGAAGAAAATGCACAAAATAAAATTTTTGAGAATACCCAGAAGTCGGTATGCGTTAAATACAAAATTTTGACACCACAAGTGGTTGAGTTAATTGAACACATACGCTCGCGTGATCGATAATGTCGGTGATTGATCAAATTGAATTGATTTTGATAAACTAGATTTTTTTAAGTTACCTATTATATTAATTTATTATCATCATTGACAAGTAAACATCTTTTTATACAATCAGCCGATCGACCGGATAACCGTTCTGAATCCGAGTTCGGGTCCCGACTTTATTCACGACGGTCGACATTATTGCGAATCGGACACGATCATAAAGCCCATTGTATCATATCGCCCATGCGTCAATATATAATAGTAATCGATTAAATTGATTGATAATACTATTCATTTACCTTATGGACACTTAGAAGACTTTTTATCCATACCCAACGCCCCGCCGTGGGTTTGACGAGAAACAGGACCTGAGATTTCCGAAACAGACCGTCCACGAAAATTTCTCGGAAACTGCTCACCTAAACTCGATTCTGGATCCTCCAGAGCGATAAGCTGAGGTCTTTAACCTCCTCGGCCATTCGTCGTCCTCGAATTTCATATAATGTCAATGGTTCATCAGTGATCATAATACATTAGGATCGAATCACAATTGTCTTTAACAAGAAAGCACGGTAAATGATTCAATTTCTTTCGAACAATTTATTAATTTGAATAAAGTGACGAGACCTACATTAATTATGTCGAACAATTACCGAAAAATTCAAATTTTCGGTAATTATTCACTAGTCAAAACAGCAAGAAAAGAACACCAGAAATCACGATATCCAAGTCAATTTAATGAAAATGATTAATCGATATTGAAGAAGAAACTATTTATAAGTGACTCACATGGAATAAAACAGATATTTTTTTTTATAGAAAATCGTATTTTATTTGCACCTTTTTAAAGTTGACGAAACGTTCAGAGGACAGCGCTAACTCTTACAGAACCGCCACGAATACTACAGATGCTATTCATGGTAGCCGACTTGTCACTCCACCTGGTGGACGATCTTCGAGTTTTTCTTCTACAAGAACAAGTGGACACGAACGATTTTCTGAATTTTTTATGCATAAAACAGTACGTTATGGGATTACAACACGAAGATATATAAGCCAACAATTGTATAATGGATACACCCGAATATCCAATTGTGGAATAAACCGCTTCCTGATCGAACAACGACCAGGTGTTGACGATGTAAAGGGGACTCCAACAGACGAAGAACTCTACCACGACGACAAACAACATACGAACGATACGTTTCTTCGAAGCTTGGCTTTTTTCTAGATTGCCCCTTATAATGAGGTGTCGTGGTGTTTTCGACCTGGCTACAGCGAATGTTTGGTAACTAACGTGCGATTTTGTTACCAATAGATTCTTCTTATTGCTACAAGACGAAGCGAAATCGTTCGAGTGATGCTTGCGTATCAAACGAAGGGGAAAGTCTAAAAATATTTTATAATTGTTTATTTTATTTATTTAAATTATTTATTAACACGTAATTCGTCAATAGACTTACCATGGTTTTCCATCTGTACACCCGAACACAGAGTGCGCGTTATTAAAGAATACATTAGCACCATTATTATCAATGGAACTGCCATTAGAGCCGCATCTAGATAGATGTTAAATATTCGTTCTGAAATATCTGTGGGCCAAACTTCACGACATTTATGTTTACCTACAAAGAAAAAAAAAGGTACATTATTCATGAAGTGCTGAAGATGCTGTTGGGCTGCAATTTGAAAAACTGTAGACCTATAAATTCCCTCTGTCGTTCATCTGTCTGTTTTTCCTTAATCTCGAGAATAGTATTAGATAAATAACATTCAAGATTAAATATGGAAAGCTTAGCGGCAAGAGGCCTCAATTAATTATGTAGGAATATAAAGTATATTTATTTCAATCAAAAATTTTATCCAAAATGGAGTTAGATAGATGGCTTTTGCACTCTATTGTTGTCAGGAAAAGTGTGATGTATAGGGGCAAGACACTACAGTACTAATTTGAGGTGGAGAGCATATATTTTTTAAATTAAAAAAATTGCAGTCTGACATGATTGAATAATAAGACTTCTGCAGTTTTCTCGTACTTCCAGACAGCCAGACAAATTACCTAAACAACAAATTATTGTTCTCGATATTAAATTATCCTTTCCATTATGTCTGCTGCGGAAATCCATCACGAGTCACCTTATACTTTTATTCCAATACTAAGAGAATCAATTGATCAAAGAACACTTCTTTCCATTGATTGCAACAATGGAAACCCTTTCCATTTTATCTCGGGTTTCTGATCAACTTAACTACTTCAACAACTTTATTAGCTTTATTTTTTTTATTTAGCGTATTATTATTTTAACTTTTTTTATTTAAATAATTCAAAAATCTATTTTATTTTTAAGTGTAAGTCGAAGTTTTGGCGGATTTAAAATTTATTTTTAGGTTACTTGTATTTGTTCTATGTACTGTACAGTTATATGATTTGATGCCATACACTATAATATATTAAATTCGACGATACTTAGCCAAATTAGAGGGTGGTCCGATAATCGGTTAACCTAAAAGTAACGATAGAAAAGTGTGCCAAATCGCTGTAATTTGTGTACTGAACGAGAACGATTGGATAATTTTTTCAAATTTTGCAGCAATAACGCAAGTTTACTTTACAACGGTTAATCGAATTTTAGGACACCCTGTATTTAAATCGCGTGTTTTATAATAATTTAACGACATTTCTCACCATACAAATCATTACGAAGTCGAAATAACCGGAAAATTTATAAAAATACTTCAAGTATTTATTGATAAATATACTGAAAATTGATCCCTTATTATAGACACTACTTTTTTTTGTTTTTGTATTCTAACTTTTTATCTTAGAAAACTTCAATCGTTTTCTAGAAGATAAAAATCAATTTTTCAGGAAGAATTATTGGGCTATTGTATTAATAAAATAAAAAAAAATGATAAAACTCTTCCACTCTTTAGAAAAGAATTAGCTGCAGGACATACAGAGCCTTTTACAATTGATGATATTGTCTATATAATAATAATAATAAAATGATTTTTGGACATTATAAGCCATCTTGAAGTATTTTTCTAAATGGCTAAAAGTACTTGAGATAAGAATTCTCGGTTTGTACGATTTCTGATAGGAAGAGCGTGGAAGCTGTAAACAGCCAAGACCTTTAGACACAAGTTGGACTTACAACTTTAAATCCCATTTAGTAAATAATGAACCGACAAAAAAATCTATAAAACTCGATATATCAAGTAAGAAACGTTAATGTAATTAAAAACATGGTTAAGATGTTCAACTCAATACGTTCAATACGTCAAAAGTTAAACGTTTTTTTAATTAATAAATGTCACCAATCTAGTTTTGTTTGTAAACATTTTAAAAATCTTCTAAAATGCGTGTGTCTGCACGTTGATTACTTTCCGATATGGCGTGTTATCTATTCCTTCGTTTTATTATGTACAATGGTACCTCGGTACTCTAATTCGTTCTAGAGTTTTAATTGTAGAGAATCGCAATTTACACTAAATGAACACAGGTAAATGTTCTAATTATTGCATAAAACAATGATAACAATAACACCTTAAAGTACTTAGTAAATAAGCAATAAAATGCAGGAGATGAATTGAGCATGGCTTTTTTCCAGTCTCGCCCCGTGGACACTAAGAAAGTCTCCATTAGCAAGCCCATTATGGGTTCGACCGGATCCACAATGGAGCGGCCGGGTGGTGAGGTACGGGTTCCCGAAAATTCCTGGCGATTTTTCGACCCGTTTGGATTCGACCCCGTCCCCAGAGCGGTAGGCTGAGCATGGTTGAACTCGTTCAATACATGTTCCAATCTAGTTTAGAAAAGCAATAGATTTTCATTGTTTGTAGCTTAGAATAAAAATTAATCCGATCTGGCTCATAACCTTACAGCAGCGGCGGCCTTATCCATTGCGAGGCTCTGGGCAGCAGATCTTTGCGAGGCCCTTGTCCTTTGTGCAAAGTATGTGAATTGAAATAGTAGGCACTTATTAATATTAATATATACTGTACTATAAATTAAATTTATTTTATTGTTATAACTAATAGCCAAGGATAAAATAAAAAGTTTTAAATATCAACTTTTTTCTACTTGGTTGTTGCGCGAGGCCCACCCAAGAGCGAGGCCCCGGGCGATTGCCCTGCTCGCCACCCCCTAAGGCCGCCACTGCCTTACAGTGCCTTACGTCTTTGTGTTCGAGTTCCAAGAAAAGTTCCCTTTCTGGAGCAAAACTTCCACGAAAAAAGTGTTCGGATTCAAAGTTGTTCGACCTCTGGAACTTTCGAGTATCATTGTATTTAATTTCATGTTTATATTCTTGTATTTACGTTTATTAGGGTGATCCTAATACGTTTTTAGTCTGTTCCATTATGAAAAAAATAATAATTTTTGAACAAATTCTGTTAGTTTTGAATAATATTTAGGGGTCGCTATTACGATTTGAGAAATCGCAATACGTCACAATGATAAGTACTGTGAAATAGAAACTCGACGTAAGTACTTATAGCAGTAGGGAATTACAGCAATAAAGCAGTTGGAAATTAGCAATTGTAAATTTTGAATGCTTAAGCTGGATACCAACGAGAGAGATTTTGGAATTTTCAGTAAAGGTGTCGTTAAAGTGAAGTGTTTCTCATTTCTAAAAGTATAAACAAAGCTTTTTTTTAAGATCGAGGTGCTGTGCGCTTCTTTTATCCATTTATATAATAAAATCTCTAAAACTTTTAAATAAATTCACGTTTATATTTTAAAAGAAGTTTGAAATCTTAAAATAAATTGCGTTTTTATGTACATTTGATATAAGAATATCTCATGCCATGTAAATACGTTCCGTTTCGTAACAAACGAACCTATATTTTTTTACATTTTCAAATATATTTTTAAAGAAAATCTAAAAATTCAAATATCTATTTGTTTTTTCTTTAAAAAATTTTAAGAAAGACGTTTATCAAACGAATTTAAAGGTGTTACCATAAATATCCCATTAATAACTCATTAATACAGCTTTTTATTTACGTTTCCGCTAATTTTGTATAAAAAATATTTAAAAATTTGTAAAGGAAATCAATAAAAAAACGATGTCATGTTATTTTTCAACTTATTCTTAACCTCTCACTCCTTAATAAATGATTTAAAATTTGAAATTCGAACTAAACACATGATTTATAACGAACGTGAGTTGTTAACCAATGAACAAGTCGCGTTAGGTATTGCGCAACAATCGATTTATATTCGAATCTGATTGGTAGAACGATCACATGACGTTTTTTAACGTTCGTTAAGTTATCGGATCCTCGATATGAATAATGAAATAAAAGGAAAGAAATATAAAAGTTTTATCTTTATATAAGATATTTTTAACTATGAAAAATTTATAAACACACTTATAATTTGTATATAAATCTATTATATGTTCAAATCATTACATTCATTAATTTAACAATACTTGACAGAGAATGCCCATACTGAGACGAAACAAATTCTTAGCAAAGACAATTAGTCTGTGAGAGAGAATTGGAAATCGCGCTTGCCAAGGAAGCACCCAGATATCTTGTAGGTACTGTCTACTAGTGTTGTGGTGCCGAAAAATGGCATTTGGTACATCCTGAAGATACGCAACAACATGAGCTGTTGCACTTCATCAACCTATAATGATGCCGACATTGTACCTTTGTATATTTGAAGTGATCGCTCGATGTCGATGACATTCTAAACCGTGATTGGAATGTCATAAAAGGCAGCACGATCGACCCTGTAAAAATCAGGCAGAAGCGAAACTCGTCATCGAATAAGACAGTTCCACGCTAAGTAGTTTTGACACGACATCACTGCATTTTCTTACCACAATGGACTTGGGCCGGGGGGATGGATAGTCTTCGCGAAGGAAGACGGGTCTGCAAATCCACCTCAATCAATCTACTAATAACAGCCCGTGCTTATATTGGAACCTCCAAATCTCCCCGTAGACTTCTGATTGTCGGCAGTCGTAGGGTAGTGAGCTCGATACTATGTGATGTCGGATCGATGGATTATCTATAATCTCTCCAAGACAATTCACATTTCCTTCTTCTAACTACTGTTTCCAAATAGGTCTTGAACTGTGGGTGGAATTTGGGTTGTGGTTTATACTGCGGGTTGCATTTTCTCCCACAATACTACGTAGACCTATAATAAAACCTCTGGCGAACACACCTGTTTGATTAAAGGATTCTCAATAGTATCTGAAAACAGTTTATTCTTATAATAAGTTCATCCTCTTAAGAAGTGATGGATTTGAAATCGAAATAATTCGCGTAACTCACCAAATGTACCTTGAAATTTGCATAACGGCAAATTTGTTACGACAAAACCTCACAGTGTGGAATTTCGTGTCAAATAGCATACGTTACAAGCAACGTAGAGACATAAAGACGTATTGAATATTTCATTCCGTTTATAAGGTATTTATTGACGTTAGTGACAACTGAGGTGCTGTAATTGCTAACATCGATCTGGATTGAATGACAGGAATAGTTACTAACATTTCCGTGGTTAATAGGCTACCCGGAAAAACGATTTGTAATTAAATTAATTATTATTACTTACATAGTATTTATTTGGGGGTTGTTTTTCTCAGACTTATAAGAAAATTAT